AAATATCTGCCACAACATAAGTAACCGGATCAGAGTAACATTACGTACAGTCCGCGGCACTGTGAGTGCAGACGTAGATGTGTCCCATTATCATTCATATCATATCACATCATAATGTATCATATATTTCCTTATCTGAGTCAGCTTCTTGAGCCGTATCTGGCGTGCAACACTCACAGTGTCACATACTGTATGCAGAAGTATTATTTTAAGCAACACATTAAGTTGACGAAACACTCGAGTCAAATGTAATTAAAGTCAGATCCACTCGTATCTTGGACGGGGCAGTGATATCATAAACCTGTTAATGTACGCATTCAAACACTTTTTCTTTTACCAGCAGTATTCACCTTGCAGGTGCAGCTATGTGGCTTTTATCCTGGATAAAGTCTTTAAGTCATGGATGTTTAAGGTTTAACGTCTTCATATTTGTCTAATATTAGTTGACTTTTCATTCAGGAAATATATGAAGCGCTGCGCTGTCAGTACTACGTCAAATTTACATTCAAATTCCAATTTGAATCTGGTTCAAATGACTGGAATCTGTCATAGAACCAATTATTCTCTCTGGTAGTGAGGTGTGGGGTCCTCTCTCCTACCAGAATTTGGCCCAATTAGACAGACACCCAGTTGAAATTATGCATCTTCAATGCTTAAAAAGCATCGTACAGGAGCACAGAAAAACCACAAACAATGCCTGCAGAGCTGAATTAGGCCAATTCCCATTACATCTAAAAAAAAAAAGAAAAAAAAAAAAGGGCAATCACATTTTGGCTTCATCTAAAAAAACAGTGACCCCTCTCTTATCAGCGTAAAGCCCTGCAGTGCCAAGAGCTGAGCAAAGAAAAGAGTCCCCTCACTGAATTAATTTCCTGCTCCGCCTCAGGACCGGCCTGACATTATGTCAATCAGAATCAACCAGATTATAAAACACCAGAAGCAAAACTATACCACCAATTGGAACACACAAACAAAAGCACAAAGCAAAATGCAGTGTATCTGACCCTAAAGAGACAGAACTGTGTGTACTTGAGCACAGTGACTGTCAGTAAACAGAACCACCCTGACCCAGTACAGACTCAGTGACTGTCAGTAAACAGAACCACCCTGACCCAGTACAGACTCAGTGACTGTCAGTAAACACAGAACCACCCTGACCCTGTACAGACTCGGTGACTGACTGACACAATAGGCGCTTTCACACCAAATACTTTTCCCAGGAATAGTTCCCGGAACTTTTATTTCCTGGAACTATCTAGTAAATCGTGTTCACACCGGAATAAGTCCCTGAGGGAGCCGCTGACGTCACTTCTTCTTCTTTGGGTTTACTGGCAGGCCGCAAACAACTTCACGGCGTATACTGCCACCCGAAGTCCCCGGCCGGAATTCCCCGGAGTTGGGGACTGGCTTCAGTAGAAGTCTTCCGAGTAAATCACCAGAAGCGCCGACACCTCCTCATCACTCCACCGCTCCCATGTTTTGTTTTGTGTTGCCATAAGTTAGTCTCTCTCCGTTGGTGCACTGGGCTAATGCTAATGCTAATGCGTGCAAATAAAATGGCGGATTCACAAATACTTTTTAGAGTTTTACGGGGCGTGGTTTGCAATTCGCCTCGCCAATCAGATATTGGAACCTTTTTCTCCCCAGGAAAGTGCTCTCTAGCAGGGACTAAGACCCCGTTTACACGAGGACGATACGGTTGTATCCGCATAGTTTCTCTTGCATATAGCCCTTTCGTTTACACGAGGCCGTAACAAATCGATAGAAACGGACCCCGCATACGATAACGGGTCCCAAGGTGGATAGATCTGCAAACGGAACGCTCTGGGGGATCAAACGGCTCCGTGTGTACGTCCTATACGATCATTTTCTGATAACGATGAAATAGCCCCGCCTCCCTCTCCCCACGTCTCCCTCTCCCCACCTCTCCTGCTCAGAGATCAGCTGCTGGGCTGTCAGAAGAGGGGGAGGAAAAGAGAGGCTCCGTTTATTATTCTTATATTATTATATAGAGTCGTTATCAATTTGTTTTAAAGCTCAATAAATGACAAAGAAGACCTCTGACTAATTTTTTTTTTCTAATTTTGTCCGGAATATTTAAACTTTAACGGACATGTTGACTGGCGAAATATTTTTATAACGGAAACTCTGCCGCACGGTCCCCTCCAGTGGCGTCGCCTGGCCTGGGCATCCGGGGCTTTAGCCCCGAATGTTTTTTCTGTAGCCCCGGACAATTCTCCCTCAATAATATAATACATTAACCGTGCTTTACGTGAACCTCATCATGACACAAGAGAGGACGGCAGCACTGTAATTTCCCGTGTTCAGTGAATGCAACAGAGGCATGACACCAGACCAATCAGAGAGTTGCATGGAAATAAACGTGTGCTTGTGTCATTCAAGCTCGGCTCTGTGTGTGTGTGTGGCAATAGCGCATTTAGTGTGATAGAGAGAGAGAGAGGGAGAGAGGGGGAGAGAGGGACGGTGTCAGCATGGACCGTGTTGTTAGCATCTGGTTAGCTAGCTGCACTAACGGACATAAGGAGCTGTTTGTTCCACAAGAAGCTGGAGGAGAGTCCTCTCCTCTCAGACTGAGAGACTCAGGTGAGCTAAAGGACTCTCTGAGTGTTTAGATAGTTAACTTTAGTCTAAGTTATCTCAGTGGGTCTCAAACGGTTTGGTCACAAATTATTCAAAAGATTATTTCCGCGGCACACCTTCATATGATCATTATAGTTATTAAAAAAAAGAGAATAAAGGAAAAACAGTTATGAAATACTATATGGCAGTAAAACAAGAATAGAGTTTAAAAGGGGAGTGATTAGTAAAATATCCATAAAGAAAAAGTACATCTGTTTACAGTTCTGCTTCATATGGGTGCTGAGAGAGGTATCCATAGATCTCTTCATTTTGCTCTCAAAGTGCACCAGATTGATGCATTTAACTTCAATATTTAAAAATAAATCTTCCCGGGGGAGCATCCCCCCGGACCCCCTAGAGGAGGTGAGCCCCCCACTCATAAAAAATACCACTTTACCCCTGCCTATATGCCTGAGCTGATTATCGAGCCTTCATTGTAACAGTCGCGGGTGTACTGTGTGTGTGCGTGTGGGGAGTGTTGCAGTAAAAAATGCCACTGTAGTGTCGCCGCCACTGTGGGCTAAGCCCCGAATGTTTTCAGGTCCAGGCGACGCCCCTGGTTCCCTCGTCCCTTGGAAGAGGCGGAGAGGTGGGTGTTTTTCATCTGCTGGTGGACTACCGGAGAGATTTACTGCAGGAGCACACGCCGCCCACCGTGGAGAATAAACAGAAGGGCAACCATGCTCCGGGGTCTTCTTCGCTGCTTTTGGTGTATTTTGTGGGGGCAGCAGCGCCACTTACAGGCCTGGCATATGTACAACAGCGTTTCCAGCGGTCTCGTGTGAACGGACACGTTAAATGAATCTAATGCGTGTGAACGGAAGAATTTTTTGAAAATGCATACGGTGCGTAAACGCAAACGTTCCCGTGTAAATGGGGTCTAAAAGGGTTCGCAAAAAAAGTTCTAGTTCCAGATCTTTTTGGTGTGAACGCAAAATCCCAGGAACTATCGGAACAATTCCTGGGAAAAGTACTCCGGTGTGAAAGCGCCTATTAATCATATGAAATCCTGAGTTAAAGGCCTAAATGTGTTTTCTGAAGTCACATTACCTTTGAGCACCCAACTCTTAAGAGTTCAACAGTTAGACTGTGTGAAGGTATGTGCCAAATTTGAAGAAGTTCCCTCGGAGAGGTTCTGAGAGATCGCTCCATGAGAATAGGAGGGACAAACTGAAACATAATGCCTCTGAGTCATTAAACTGAAGGGCACATTAGAAGAGTTGTTTCAAGAAATGTGCTGAGAATAGCGCTTCACAGATAATGAAGAAGAAGTGAAAAGATGAAACGTCTACAATAACATGACAGATCATTGGGAAAAGAGGTAGTTAGTTAATCAACACCTTTTATCACAGCTTACACATTGACTTGCCACAACAGGAAGAGCTCAGGTGAAACATATCTCATTAAATAATGCTAACCTTCATCAAGTATGTCAGTGAGCCATGGCAGTGTGACAACAGGCACAACAGGGCCTGGAATCACCTCGCATAAATAGGAGGTACTACGTTTTCATGTGTTATGACACCTGCGCTTTCCCGCCATGACAAGCCAACATGTCTGCTTTGAAAAATGATTGCAGACGGGGAGGATTCATATTTTCTGTTGTGTCTAACAAGATTTAAAAATAGACAAGCTATTGAGACTGGACCTGTGTGACGTGATGAGACCCTAACAGCTGACTGTCATGCTCTGAACTGAGAGGCTGGATTAACAGGGACATTTGCAGCATCAACAATCAGAATACAAGTGTTTTACATTATAACATTTTGTTGTAAATACATATACTGTATACAAAAACATTAAACCAATGTTTATTGTGATTTTACCTGCTTAAATAGATAATGTTTTACTAATTTCCGTACTAATTTACTAAATATATTGTATAACCAGTAAATGATAAATAAGTATATTTCATTCAATATTTACTTTATTGAATTGTTTTATCAACGTCTCCTTTTCACACACACACACACACACACACACACACACACACACACACACACACACACACACACACACACACACACACACACACACACACACACACACACACACACACACACACACACACACACACACACACACACACACACACACACACACACACACACACAAATCTATCATGACACGCTGTTTTCTGTCTCGCTTGCCTGCACACAAAGAAACACACCCGCAAAAACAGCAACGAGCAGCGGGGAATGCAGACAGGTTAAAGGTGACCTCTACCTGGACTCAATATATAGACAGGACCATGGTGCAAACATACACACACACATATTGGTCTCATAACTCAGCTGTTTTTGATTAAGCCATGAGCGACACAACACACACAAACACACACAGTGAGAGAGCTTACTAACCCGGCGGCAACATCGTCCATACTTCAGGCTCCACACACACCAGGATAAATCCACATGTCGCTGTGCGTGTGTGTGTGACACACACGTCTTGAGGTTTTGCCGCTTTGATATCCAGAAACCGAGGTGTGTGTATGTGTGTGTGTGTGTATGAGCAGGCTGCTGTGATACTGAGGCAGCAGGCGACGAACAGCTCTGTTATACACTCGATTACTGCCTCTATCACCCCACTCTCTCTCTCATCATCGTCGTCTCTCTCCTCACCCTCCTCCCCCTGCTGCTGCTGCTACGTATTCTCCCCCTTTATCTCTCAGTTTTCCCCTCTCTCTCCCATCCATCTTACTGACTCTATCCAGATCTGTGTTCCTCCTCGCTGCCGAGTGGAAACCGACAGATGGATCACTGCCTCGTAAAGATACACACAGAGAATCATGACTGAGCACTGAGTTGACCTGATTTGTAGGTTCAACCATTATTTCTACAATATCTCTGTACTAAAATCTGAGATGAATACAATTACCCAAGTACTGATTGCATACTTATTCAAGCTACTTCTACTTGACTTGTTCCTTGTCATTATTGTATAGTTATACTCCACTACTTTAAAACCCTCTTCGATCAGCAAATGAAACATGAAAACAGATATTTTTCTTTGAGTTAGAAATTGAATATATTATGTTAAATAAGATCCACTGTTACTGCACTATGACTACTTTTACCTTTCATACTGAATCATAGATACCTTGTCAATGATAAGACATGAGCTGTTTAAGAATGCCTATGTCCCCCACAAAGACGCTAAGACTTCTTCAAAGACCTCTGAACCATCCCTCATGGCCTTTCTTGTCACCAACAAGAATGTTTTAAGAGACCATTAAACCCTCTTTAGATACTTTTTGTTTATCCTCAGAGAGGAAACTTCATCCTCTAGATATGTAAACTCCACCTAAAAGTCTTCCTTAAACTCCCTGTCTTCTTTCTTTTCACTTGTCTTTAAAGCTCTTAATACATCTCCAGGCCTCCTCATTTGTGAAGGAAAGGCCTTTCCTGAACTCCTGCCTCCTGTTCAAATGTCCATTCTGGACCCTTCTTACGGGCTTTGAGTAAACAACGACCCAGATTCTCTTCAAAGATTGGTGTAGCCTCCTCCCATAGACTTCTACCTCAACGTCTTAATTCCATTCAGTATCTCCAGTCATGTTTGTAACTTAGGCAGTTAAACCTCCAGTTTTTCTTGGAACATCAAAAGTACTTCTGGGGCTCCTGAAAACCCTGGGTCACCACATTCATATCACCTCCCCCTGTCTGTCATTTCAAAGAAATCCATCCTAACTTCCAGAGGGTAGGTAATTCACTTCAGATACACTTTTTGTTATATTCCATGGAATGCTCTTAACATCCCGATAGCAATGAATACATGAAATGCTTTGACAATAAATACATTAAAAAAATGTCCTCTGTGGAAGCCGTGGCGCTGTAAAAAGCACGGCCTACCTGCCTGTCAGCCTAACATCTCGTGCACAAACTTATCTCCTGCCCTCATTGGTCATGTACACGTTCGTGTGCGTTGGAGGAGGGGCTCTGTAAGGAAGTCTGAAGGAAGGGGCAGATTTCTTTCGGCTGCGTACTTTCAAATTCTAGCGCACTCGAGCTGGTTTCTCCATTCTTACCTACCCTACCTTCAGTGGCGGCTCCAGAGTATTTTTGTTGGGTAACCTATGGTAGGGCTAACCCATACAGTGGTGGGGCTCAAGTCAGTATTTGCAATGTAATTACATACACGCTCCCCCCGACAGTGAAACGCCACGTGAGGTTTAGATTATTTCCCTGTCTCAATCCAAATTGAACTGTATGAAATAAAAAAAAGGCACATTTGTCTTGTAGTAAATAAAAAGGGCGACCTGGGGCCAATCCTGCAATTTCCCCACAGGTGAAAGAGTTGACATGCTGAAAACCTAACCCCTGCGGAGGGGTCTGGGGGGATATTTTGAAATACTAACATGAAATACACATTCTGGTACTCTCTTGAGAAGAAAATTAATAAATCTATTACCACATGACATAGGCTATTTAAAAAAAAAAAAAAAAGTTAATGCCATTTTTGTGTTTTGTTACTTTGTTCTGAAAGCTGAACCTGCTGCTCCTCACAGAGAGAAGAGGAAAGAGGCTGTGTGAATTACTTTACATTGTGGATAAGGGTGGATAGCCCCCATTGTTCTGTGTGTCAAAATGAAAGACAGCCCACACACCTATCAATCATCAAACCGTGATTTCTATCAACACGTAATGTTGTAGCCATGGATGTATAAAGAAAAGTTCCACCGCAAAAGTATTCTCCGTCGGGACTTCCTGCAACAACACCACGCCGTTATCGTGATTCTGATTGGCCAGAAGACATTATCAAAGATGTTCTATTGAGAAGACGATCACTACGTGACAAAAGTTTTCAAAACCGTTTCTAGTCTTCGGTATTTCCAGACAAGTGGCTACTGAAATCAATCTTACTAACTGCTGTCTGTGCAATTTACTCGGTGCGAGTTGGCGGACTTTTTTTTGCTTACTTTAACATCATTTTTCATGGTGGGGCTAAGGTGGGGCTCAGCCATTTCTTGGTATGGCTGTAGCTTACCCCAGCCATACCCTGGAGCCGCCACTGCCTACCTTTAAGGATTGAGATTGGCATTCAAGGTTCCCAAAAACCTTCTCCAACACTTATGCATCCCCCTGAAAGCGCCTCGCAACAACTACATCTCTCAGCCCCTTTCAATCTCGTAAAGAAGGATTGGACCTAATGGATTTCCCTAGAATCCCCTGAAGGAGCTTGTGAAGACCAGGGGCGTTTCCTGGACATGGAAACATTCGGGGCTTAGCCCACAGTTCATTAAGGTACATCAAGGTACCAGGCGCTACAGTGGAAATTTCTACTGCAACACTCCCCACACGCACATACACAGTACACCTGCGACTGTTACAATGAAGGCTCGATAATCAGCTCACCGCATATAGGTGTAAGCAGGGGTAAAGTGCTATTTTTTACAAGTGGGGGGTGGACCTAACCTCCTCTAGGGGGGTCCTCACCTCCTCTAGGGGGGTCCTCACCTCCTCTAGAGGGGTCCGGGGGCATGCTACCCCAGGAAGATTTTTTTTTTAAATATTGAAGTTAAAAGCATCAATCTGGTGCACTTTGAGAGCAAAATTAAGAGATATGGATACATCTTTCAACCCCCATATGAAACAGATTTACTTTTTCTTTATAGATATTTTACAAATCACTCCCCTTTGACTGTGTAATGTAAGGTAGCTTCTAGCTTCATGTCGAACACTGACAGTAAGTCAACATTTTCCAGAGAGCTTTCTTTGAAATCACAAGGTAACGCTAAAAAACATAACATTTAGATTGTATGACAAAGTGTTAATTTAATATCTCTGGCTAGCTATAGCTACTTGCTAACGGTTTAGCTTACCCCCGCGATTCAAAGTAACGTCAACATAGCTGTAATTTATGCTTCGCTTACATGTTCGCATAACTTGGAAGTTTACTGACATTTACATACCTTGTTTACCTGGCTCAAGTGGTGGCTCTGGGGTTGTTGTGTGAACCACCACTTGAGAATTGTCGTCTTTTTTAAGAACAAATGTTCTTATGTCCATCTTCAAAAACTCAGAGTCCGACTGACAGTTTAAACATTGTCACAGCTCACAGGATAGGTACCTGTCAGCCAATAAGACACGTTTATTTCCATGCAACTCTCTGGTGATTGGTCTGGTGTCTTGCCTCTGTTGCATTCACTGAACACAATCCTGCCGTCCTCTCTAGTGTCATGATGAGGTTCAGGTAAAGCACGGTTAATGTATTATATTATTGAGGGAGAATTGTCCGGGGCTAAAGAAAAAACATCCGGGGCAAGACCCTGCGTCTCTGCTTAAAAGATCCGTTGCTTTGAAAATGTGCATAGTCAAACCTCTCAACCTTCTCAAAGTTGCTCATAACCTCCTAAGCACCTCTTTCCCCCTTAAACCATATAAAATGTTATTCGAAGCACCTCATGAACCTCTGAGGGCCTACAAATCTGGATCATTCTTAGAAACCTTTTAAAGCTCTATAGTTACATCTAAAACATTCTTCGAGACAACCTTAAACCTTCTTCAAGGATGCCTGTGACCTCTTCCAAGACCTCTCCTTCTCAATATGGATGTAAGCATTGTTAACCTTTGGTTTTAAAGGTCTCCTATTACACTATTTTTAGGCATATATTATAGATCTCAGATATATCAAAAACATGTCTATGAAGTACTGCTCAAAATACCAAACAGATCACCCATTGTAGCATGCCTCATACCCCTCTATTTCAGCCCTATTAGAGAAGTGCTGATTCTGGGTCTGTAGCTTTCAATATTGCCGAGCTGCTGCTGGCCACGCCCCTTTGGAGCGTCCACATGCAAGCAGTGAGCTCTGTGAAGAGAAGGCTGTCTACCAGCAGAAACTCAGCTAAACGCTGCCGTGATTAAACGCCATATCATGTTCCAAACCACATCAAGCATTATTTCTGAAACGGTATGGAGCTCAAACGCTTTCTCTCTCGCGGGTTTACCACAAGGTCAGTACCTTTTACATCTGGCTTCTTTACACATACTCTCTCCAGTACAGCGTTAGCTCTGAGTGTTAGTGATGCTTGCTAATGTAAACAAAGACCATATTACTTCCAAAACACGTCACGCATTGTTTCTGATACAGCAACGTTTCTGATAGGACCGTGGGCGTAAAGCCAGCCCTCATTTTTGTTATCTCGTCATGACGCAGCAAATCTGAATCAGCTCCGTTGTTCCCCCGTTTTTAGAGATGTGGGTAAGGAGAAAAAGAGAGAGGGTTTTATTTTCTGACACGTTGCGAGTCTCCTTACACACATATGTATGTATAAAAGATATCAAAAGGTGCACTTTGCATAATAGGTGACCTTTAAGATCTTTAGCACAAAACTATCTCAAGGATGTTTGAAACCTATTTTCACAGTTGTATTAGATATTTTATGAACAACCTAGACAAGCTCTTCAAGGATTACTCTAACCTCTCCCAAAACGTCTGTGTCCTTCTCATAGCCCCCTTCCAACAAAGACTGGAGCATTGTTACCCCAAAACCCGCTGTGAATCTTCCTGGAGCCCCCTCAATATTCATGGAGCTCTTGAAAGACATGGGTCTCTGCTGTAAACACCTCTCCATGGAAGATTTGCATATT